TGTTCTTTGTGCGTTTTCTAAATGGGTTTGTTTTTATATTGCTTAGTTATGAGACTCTTTATATATTCCAGATATGTGTCCTTGGTAGCTTGTCTTTTCATCATTTTATCCAGGTTTTTCACAGAGCAAATTTCCAATTTTAATGAAGTCTAGTTATCAATTTAAAAAATTTTTTATGCATCATGCATTTGGTGTTATGTCTAAGACTCTTCACCAAGCCCTAGTTCTCAAATACTTTTCGCCTGTATTTTCTTCTAAAAAGTCTCATTATGTTACATTTCAATCTGTCATCCATTTGGGGTTAAGTTTTGTGTAAGATTGAAGTTTAGACATAAGTTTACTTTTTTGCTGGTTGATACCCAGTTCCTGCAACACTAGTTGTTGGAAAGACTCTTCTTCCTTCATGAACTACTTTTGCAACTTTGTCAAAAATTAGTTGGCCATACTATATGGGGCTATTTTGGGTTCTTTATTCCATAGAATTATGTCTGCCCTCCAATACTATACAGTCTTGATTTCTATAGCTATATTTTTTTAAAGTCTTGAAATTAGGGAAAAATTATTCTTCCATTATTCTTTGTCAAAATTATTTTTGTTTTTGTAGCTCTTTTCTTTCCATATAAATGTTAGAATACTCTTGCTTCTGTTTGTAAAAATTCTTACAGAGACTTTTGATAGAATTATGTTAAATCTACATCTAAATGTGGGGAGAGCTGACATCTTTACTGTGAGCCTTTGAATCCATGAACATGGATTGTTTCTCTGTTTACTTAGAACTTTGATTTTTTTCATCAACAATTTGTAGATTTCAGCATGTAAGTTGACAGAGTCGAAATAAACATATCTCTAAATTAAACATGTATTTAGGAATCACATAATTGCAATTTGGGGCATACATACAGACCACAGTGGTCTTCCGTATGTTACAGGAACAAAGAGAAGGTTGGCCATTTTATTAGAAAGAGAAATGCTATGTAATATTTTGAAGAAAAGTTCATTGACACTAGAAGAGCTTTTGGAAGCTGGCAGTCTCTGATTGGTGAGTGAAAGGCAGCAGGTAAAAGTAGTCTTCAGAGTCACAACAGGTCATTTCAGCATCTACTTGGTAAAACTAGTCTTAGGGCTACAGCAGGCCATTTTAGCAGGTAGGCTTGTAGAAAATTCAGTTCTTGGAGCTGGTGCTATGTGCCCTGAGTGATTTTTCCCCACTGTCCCCTCCACTCTGGTTTACTTAGTTATGACAAAAATGACCCAATTTGTATAATCAACTTTCAGAGTCCTATACATATTCTTTTAGGTTTACACCTAAGTTTTTTTTAAACAACTGTATGTGATATATTTTTCATTTCAGTTTCTACGTGTTTATTGTTAGTATCTTGGAATACTATTGACATTTTAAGTGCATTCACACTGTTTTGCATCTACGGAATTTTTACCATCTTGCAAAACAAACTTTGTGACTTATTAGACAGTAAATCTCCTCCCAACCTCCAACCCTGGCAACCACCATTCTACTTTCCGTCTCTACAGTATTTTATGGTGACTGGTTTATTTAACTTAGCATAATTTCTATAAGGTTCATCCATGTTGTAGCAATGTTAGAATTTTACCTCTTTTTTTTTTAAAGGTTATATGTATAAATCACCTTTTGTGTAGCCATTCATCCATTGGGTTGCTTCTACCTTTTGGCTATTGTGAATGATGCTGCTGTGAGCATGGTGTCCAATATCTGTTCAAGTTCTTGCTTTGATTTGTTTTGTGTATACCTAGAAATGGGATTGGTGGATCATATGATAATACTATTTTTATTTTCCCAAAGAACTGCCATACTGTTTTCCATAGCAACTGTACCATTTTACATTTTCAAAAATAGTGCATAGGAGTTCCAGTTTCTCCATATCCTCACCAACACTTACTTTCTGTTTTTGACAGTAGCCATCCTAATGGGTAAGAGTTGTGGGTTTGATTTGCATTTCCCTAAATGATTAATGCTATTGATCATCTTTTTTATGTGCTTATTGGCCATTTACATATCCTCTTTGGAGAAGAAATTTAGTTCTCTAAATATTATGGATATTAATTTTATCAGATGTGATTGCAGTGCAGCTAGTTTTTATGTGGTGGTCTTGTATAGTACACTTTTACTTCACTGAACTTATGTAGTTCTTGGAGGGTTGTAGAGATTTCCTACGTAGAATATCATGTCATCTGCAAATAGAAACGATTTTATTACTTCCTTTAAGTCTGTCTGCCGTTTAGTTTTTTTCCTGCCTTATTGCACTGGCCAGAACTTCTAGTACTATTTTGAATAAAAATGATGAGAGAGGAGACACCCTTGCTTTTTTTCCCATCTTAGGAGGAAAGCTTTCAGTCTCTCACCATTAAGATATTAGCTGTAGGGCTTTTTAGATGTTTTTTATCAAGTTGAAGACGTTCCCCTCCACTCCTCATTTTTGGAGAGTTTTTATCATGAGTGATTGTTGAATTGTATCAGGTGGTTTTTCTTCTTTAAACTGTTAATATGGTAGATAGCATTGATTTGGTCTTTAATACTGAACCAGGCTTGAAGTCTTGAAATAAGCCATGCTGGTGATGGTGTGTAATTCTTCTATATACTGCTGCGTTCTGCTTTCTAGTATTTTGGTAAGGACTTCTATGTCTATGTCCATAGGGGATACTGGTTTTTAGTTTTCTCTTTTTGTACTGTCTTTGTCTAGTTTGGATTTCTTCCTCTTTTATTCTCTGAAAGGGATTGTGTAGAACTGGTTTTAATTCTTTAAATGTTAGAATTCTCCAGGCTATTCTGGAGCATGAACAAGTGTGGAAGCCTCATTCTCTCTATGCCGTCAGGGCATAGAGATGTTCAGATTTTTTAATAATAATTATTCTTTACAGGGTACTTATCCATTTCATATTGGCTGAATTATGGCAGTTTGTGTTTTTGAGATTATTTTATGGGAGGTTTTTTGTTTGTTTTGCTAACAAACAAAACAAAAGGCTTTGTTTTGTAGGCTGCCCCTTTCCTGGTACTTGGGCTAGAGGGAGCCACTGTTTGGGGAATTTTTTTGGTCTGTGTGTATTGGCTTTTCAGAGTTGCCAACTTTTTCAGTATTTTGTCTTGAATAGATGAGGCAAAAAGAAAACCCAGGGAGTTTATCAATGTGTCCCACCTTGAGTCACAGAGTCCTCAGCTGGACTATTGTCTTTTCTCACTTTTCGGAGTCTTTATAGGGTTGTTTGATATTTAGCCCTCACAGATTCACTTTATCAAATTGCAAATAAAATTAAATGGAAATTTGCTAACTTCTAATACCAAAATAGTGAATCAGAATATTGCACTGAGATACAGAGTGACAACTGAGGTTATTTTGTATGTTCTTATTTGCGACTGAGTGTCATTCTGTCTATTCTGAAACCTTAGTTGGAGCAGAAGTGAAAAATCCCCATATGAATGAGTTTTCTTGCCTCATTCCTGGTTTGTTAGTAATTCTTTGTCCTGGAGCATTATTTTTAAAGCCAAATGGCAATAAATTGTTAATACACCCTTAGATTTGTAGACCGATTGATTTTTAAAGGCTTTCTATATGTCTGAATACATGATGCTGAGTTTTTTCCACATCATTGTCTGTCTCTAGGCCCCACTCACATAGTCTGATGATTCTGCAGTATATCCTGAACATCAGCATATTTTAAACCTCCCTGCGATTTGAATATGCAGCCAGGGCTGAGAAGCACTGCACTGGAATTGAGCTTATTGTGTTTCTTGTGTATTTTCTTTGAGAGTCTGGCAGAAATTTTTTCTGCTGCCTCTTTGACCATATATTTGTACTGAAAGGTGGATGAACCCTCAGCGTTGACTTCTCATTGAGGGGTAGGTCCTGGCCTGTGGCCACCGCTACCTGGGGGACTCTGCACCTTCAGAAGTTCCTTCCTGTTTCTAGCAGGAAGTGAACCAGAGAGCACACAGTAAGCTGTGCCCTGCCAGCGACCACCTTATTCTTTCTACCTAGCTTTGGCCCACAGTGGCAAATGGTAAATGTGGCAATAAGCACTTTCTTTAAATAAAGTCTTATTGACAGAAGTGTGAGTGCTTGGTTGTTCTAAAAAAGTAGCACTACTTTGAGATCAACAGTAATGACAGCTCCTACTATCATTCTTTAGTACTCACCTATGCCAGATGCTTCATATTTATTCTCCAGCACTTCAACTCTCTAGACAGCATTTTACCTGAAGTTCTACTAGAAGCAACACGAGTGATTATATGCTTGTTATTAGTGGTGATCTGATGTAGAAAGTCACAGTTCTGTAGCACATTCCAGTCAATGTGCAGGTAGCATACTCATCTCCTCCCCTCACTCTGCACAGGTAAGTACCCTTGAAGTTTAGTAGGGCAGCTTTGGGCTGTTTTTCTGTGTAACTGGTTTTATATTTTTTAATTATATCAGTTATTTAGACATACAACTTATGTAGTTATAATGAAGTCGTACCAAAAATATCCTGTGGCTTTTTACATTAAAATTAGAATATCTTGAAAATCTTCCCCATTGTTTACATAAAGAACTTCCTCAATCTCTCTCTCTCTCTCTCTCTCTCTCTCTCTCTCTCTCTCTCTCTCTCTCTCTCTCTCTCTCTCTCTCGTGGGAACCCGTAGAGACAAAGTCTTGCTATGTTGCCCAGGCTGGTCTCAAATTCCTGGCCTCAAGCAGTCCTCTTGTCTTGGCATCCTGGATTATACTCGTGAGCCACTGTGTAATCCCAGCACTTTGGAACACCAAGGCAAAGTGTCTCAGCCTTGGTAAAAATAAGCCACGCCCCACCTTACTCCACTGTGCCCAGCCTTCATGAAAATAAGCCACATCTTATCATACTGGTAGATTTAGAGAAAAATTGCAAAGCTATAATGTAGAACATTCGTATTATTCAACACCCAGTTTCTCCTGTTGTTAATGACTTATTTTTTTTTTTTTTTTTAATTAGTAGACTGTTTTTTTTTTTTTTAGATGGAGTTTCACTCATGTTGCCCAGGCTGGAGTGTAATGGCGCAGACTCAACTCTCAGCATCTCTGCCTCCCAGGTTCAAGTGATTCTCCTGCCTCAGCCTCCCGAGTTGCTGGGATTACAAGCATGTGCCACCACACCTGGCTAATTGTTGCATTTTTAGTAGAGATGGGGTTTCTCCATGTCGGTCAGGCTGGTCACGAACTCCTGGCCTTGGGTAACCTGCCCGCCTTGGCCTTGCATAGTGCTGGGATTACAAGTGTGAGCCACTGCGCCTGGCCTAGTAGATTTTTTTTTTTTTTTTTTTAGCAGCTTTAGGTTCATAGAAGAATTGAGCAGAAAGCACAGAGTTCCCCTGTGCCTTCCAACACCCTTCCCTGACCCCCCACCCCAACCCTGTCATTAACATTCGGCATTGGTGTGCTACATTTGTTACAGCTGATAAGCCAATACTGATCCATTAGTATTAACTAAGGTCCATAGTTTGCATTAGGATATGTTCTTTTTATTTTATTATTTTCCCAAGACAGGGTCTTGCTTTGTCACCCAGGCTGGAGTGCAGTGTCACAATCCCAACTCAGTGCTACGTCTGCCTCCCAGGTTCAAGCAATTCTCGTGCCTCAGCCTCCCGAGTTACTGGGACTACAGGCATGTGCCACAGTGCCTGGCTAAGTTTTGTAGTTTTAGTAGAGTGGAGGTTTCACCGTGTTGACCAGGCTGGTCTCAAACTCCTGGCCTCAAGTGATCCACCCACCTCAGCCTCCCAAAGTGCTGGGATTACAGGTGTGAGCCACCACGCCCAGCCGGGTACGTTCTTTGTGTTGTACATTCTCTGGGTTTTACCAGGTGTCCAATGACATGTATGACATGTATCATACAGAGGAGCCTCACTGCCCTAAAAATCCCCTGTGCTCATCTGTTTATCTTTCCTTTCCGCACCTCCATCCTATGGCAACCACTGTTCTTTTTCTGTCTACATAGTTTTACCTTTTCCAGGATGTGATAAAATTGGAAACAAACAGCATAGAGCCTTTCCAAATTGGCTTTCTTCATTATATGCATTTAAGGTTCTCCCATATCTTTTTGTGGCTTGATAGTTCCATTTCCTTTTATTGCTGCATAATATTTCATTAGGTATATATGGTACCAGAGTTTATCTGTTTACCTATTAAAGGATGTATTGGTTGTTTCCACTTGTTCACAATTATGACTAAAACTGCTGTAAACATTTTTTGGTGTGTATTTTTGTATAGATGTGTGTTTTCAACTCATTTGGATAAATACCAAGAAGTCCCCTCAAACTGCTGCTATCAACTAAGTTTATCTAATAGTCTAAGTTTTCTGTTGTCATTTCAACCATGTTCACACTATCTTCACCAGAAGTCGATTTTGTCTCAAGCAATCACTTTCTTTGCTCTTCCATGAGAAGCACCTCCTCCTCCAGGCAAGTTTTCTCATGAGATTGCAGCATTTTGTCACATCATTAGACTCTACTTCTATTTCTGATTGTTGTACTCTTTTGACCACAGCTGCAGTAACTTCCTCCACTAAAATCTGAAACCCCTCCAGGTCATCCATGAGGTTTGGAATCAACTTCTTCCAAATGTCTGTTAATGTTGATATTTTTACTTCCTTCCATGAATCATAAATGTTCTGAATGGCATTTAGAATGGTGAATCCTTTCCAGAAGGTTTTCAATTTACTTTGCCCAGATCTATCAGAGGAATCACTTCTGTGATGGCTATAGGCTTATGAAATATATTTCTTAACTAATAAGACTTGAAAATTGAAACTACACCTTGATCCATGGGCTTCAGAATGGTTATTGTGTTAGCAGGCATGAAAACAACATTGATCTTGTATAACTCCATCAGAACTCTCTGGTGACCAGGCACATTGCCAATGAGCAGTATTTGGTAAGGAATCAGAAAAACTGAGCAGTAGGTCTCGACAGTGGGCTTAAAATGTTCAGTAAAATATGCTGCCAACAGAACTCTTCTGTAGGCAGATATACTGTCGTCTAGGCTTTGTTGTTCCATTTATTAAGCACAAAATTTGCCACAATTCTTAAGGGCCTTTGGGTTTTTGGTATGGTGAATGAGCATTGGCTTCAACTTAAAGTCACCTGCTATAAAAGTCCTAGACGGCAGCTTCTTCCAGTAGAATGCTGTTTCATCTGCATTGAAAATCTCTTGTTTAGTGTAGCCACCTTCTTGATGATCTTGGCTAGATCTTCTGGGTAACTTGCTGTAGCTTCTACATCAGCACTTGCTGCTTCACCTTGTACTTTTATGTTATGGAGGTAACATAAACTTCTTTCCTTAAACCTCGTGAGTCAACCTCTCCTAGCTTCCACCTTTTCTTCTGCAGTGTTCCTACCTCTCTTAGCCTTTAGTGAATTGAAGAGAGTTAGGGCCTTGCTCTGAATTAGGCATTGGCTTAAGGGAATGTTGTGGTTGGCTTGATCTTCTATCCAGATCATTAAGACTTTCTCCATATCAGCAATAAGGTTGTTTTACATACCATTCATGTGTTCACTAGAGTAGCACTTTTTATCTCCTTGAAAAACTTTTCTTTTGTATTTGCAACTTAGCTGTTTGACACAAGAGGTCTAGCCATCAGCCTGTGTCAGCTTTCAGTGTGCCTTCATCACATGTTTAATCATTTCTAGCCTTTAATTTAAAGTGAGACATGTGACACTTAGAGGCCTTTTAGGCCTAAGTTATTAATTGGCCTAATTTCAATATTGTTGTGTTTTAGGGAATGGGGAGGCCCAAGGCGAGGGAGAAAGACAGCAGAAGGGCAGGTCTGTGAGGCAGTCAGAACACACACAGCATTTATTAATTAAGTTTGCTGTCTTGGGCACAGTTTGTGACACCCCAAAACAATTAGTTAACATCAGTGATCACTGATCATAGATCACCATAACAGATGTAGTAATAATGAGAAAATTTGAAATACTTGGAAAATTACCAGAATGTGACATAATAAACTGCTACACTAAGTGTAGCAAAATGAGATATGTTTATATTTCCTCTAGTAGAGTCTGTCTCCATAGGAAAACCAATACTATTGTAAGAAAAGTGAATTTGTATTTGCCCCTAAGATTAATACTGTAGTTTCTAATTTAATTTTATGCTCCAGGAAATTTTTTGAGGTATTGCTACTTAAAGGTACTTTTGGAAGTCTCTAGCTTAATTCTCTTGAGAAGAATCAAATATCAACCTAATGCCAGATTCATTCTTTGGAAATTAATATTATGACTCCCTTCATTGTAAATGGGAATTTGTCTTTGTGACCTAAAGAGGTTGCCTATCAATTTACCATCATGGTAATAAATAGCTTTTGTGACCTGTGAAATATGGTAGAATTTAAAGCTGTTGATCTAAAATAAAAAACTTATAGACAAACTGAACATAATAGATCGTAAGATGAACTGATTCAGTGTATTTGATAATTTAAAAAAATTATTAGCTACACATGTATTTGCTTATATTAAGTGTAATACCTTCTTTGTCCTTTGTTCAGGACCCTGTTCTGTTTAACACTTTTATTCTTATTTTGATAGCTACATTTCCAGTTACTGTATAACTGGTAAGGATCTCCTAACATATCAGAAGAAAAGAAACAGAATATGAAAATACTTCAGTAGGCTGGAATGATAGGAATATGTCAGAACAAAATTTAACAATGAAAAAAGTACAAATGCCATGCTTGGGTTTCAGAATCCACACAAATATGAGGGAATATGATGGGAAGCTGAAGAATACCGTTTAGCACTAGCATTTTGATATGGTTTGGCTCTGTGTCCCCACCCAAATGTCATCTTGGAGCTCCCATAATTCCCACATGTTGTGGGAGGGACCCAGTGGGAGATGATTGAATTGTGGGGGCAGGTCTTTCTCGTGAATGATAGTGAATGGGTCTCACAAGACCTGATAGTTTTAAAACTGAGAGTTGCCCTGCACAAGCTCTCTTTGCTTGTCACCATCCATGTAAGGTGTGACTTTGCTCCTCCCTGCCTTCTGCTATGATTATGAGGCTTCCCAGCCACATGGAACTGAAATTCCAATTAAACCTCTTATTATTATTATTATTTTTTGTAAATTGCCAAGTCTTGGGTATGTCTTTATCAGCAGTGTAAAAAGAGACCAATACAGAGCATTTTTTATTTTTAAATTTCAAATTTACAGAAAAATGACAAGAATAATATGAAGAACATATGCGTACCCTTCACTCAGACTTCCCAGTTGTTGACATGTTACCGTATTTGCCTTATCACTTCTTCTGTTTTACTCTGTATTTTCTTCTAAACCATTTGAGAATAAGTTTCTGATATATTGCATCATTGTCCTTCAGTATCCCAGTGTGTATTACCCGAAAACAAGGACACTTTTTTTTTACATTACTAGACGTGGCCATCAAAACCAGTAGCATTGAGATATTACTACCATCTAATCCACACAACCCTGTACAAATGTTACAGATTTTCCCTATAACTTCCTTCATAACACAAAAATGCATACACACATACACAAGGTTACTTTACTTTTCTCTCTTTTTTTTTAGACCCAAGGTTCAAGTGAGGATCTTGTGTTGCATTTATAGTTGTATCTTTTAGGCTCCTTTTGTCTAGAACAATACCATAGTATATCCTTGTCTTTTATTGCCTCGATATTTTTGAAAAGTCCAGTCACTTTGTAGAGTAGTTCTTAATTTGTGTTCGTCAAATATTTCTTCATAATTAGATTCAGGTCATGTAGTTTTGGCGAGAACACCCTAGAAGTGTTGCTGGGTTTGTACTGCATCATTTCAGCAGGTGTGTGGTGTTAATTCATCTCTCTGCTGTGACTTGAATTTTTATCACTTGGTCAAGTGGAATATGTCAGGTGTCTCCACTGTAAAGCTGATAAGTACTTTGTACATGTTAATAAGTAATTAGTAAATATTTTGTAGAAAGCTCTCTTGAAATGGTGTAAAAATCCTGTTGTGTCAAACTAATACCTGTTAGTTTTTACATCTACTGATCATCTTTCCTCCATCACTTATTACTGAAATGGCTGCCAAATGATGACTTTTTAATTCTGTCACTACTTTTACTTTTATTAGTTGGTATTCTCCCATAAGGAAAAGCAGTCCTCTTTCTCTGGCATGGACTATGTAATCTCGTTTTAATCGATGTGTTATAAATACTGTTACTTTTCATTATTTATTTACAATGCTCAAATTGTCTCAGAGTTGACCAGTAGGAGCTTTTTCAGGGTGACTCATGTTTTCGTTTGACAAGTCCCTGTCATTCTTTAAGCACTTTCTTTAGGGCACAAAATATTTCAGACTCATCGTACGCTTTCTCTGCCTCAGTTCTGTAATCACTCACTTCTCTAGGCAGCCCTAGTTCTTTTTCGTGGTGAATAATATTTGGAATACAAGATGTTAGTAATAAGTATGCTCATTGCTACTGGGGTTTCATTGTTTCTAAGCCCTCTCAGCAGACAGATGTAGGCAATATATGTGAGTTTACACACACATTTATATCTACCTGTGTATCTGTATGTCTACATCAGTGTATAAAAATCATGAGTTTTTCACTCGTATCTGAAATTTTAATCCAGCACAACAGTTTGTTCTAGTCTTCTTCTTTTCCATACCTGTAGCTCCATTCTCTGACAAAGAAATCTGGCCTCCCCTTTTTTCTCAGCCTGTTTATTTATATGCTCAGTTCCCTTGTGTATAACTAATTTCTTGACCACACGGGCCAGAATTGGCCCAGTCCTACCAACCGGAGCTGGCAAACGTCTCTTTGGCCCTAGCCCTAGCACATAAACCAACTTCCCTATCATTTTTTTGAAATTCTGTAATAGCATGTTTTAATTTACATTTCTTTCATTATATTTTGTGAGTTTTTAAGCCTAGCCTTTTATTAGGGTAAGGGTAAATGGTGAAATAGGAAGCGTCTAAGATGAGTATTTAGAGGTCAAAACTTAGAATAGAAGTTTGAGAGTCCTTATTCATCATCATAAGAGATATTTTATTAGCATTTTACTTGGCCAGTAGAGATCCTACCAGCAGTGTGTGTGCTGAGGTGATAAAGTTGATGTGATTTTTTTTTGCATGCAATTGCCTGATTTTTGCATTATCCTTCTGCTTTTGTCTGATGAGCTTTTATAGGACTTTGATACCAAATATCCATAATATCAAAAATAATCTGGAGTTCTTTTTGTGGCTAGAATCACCTTGATAAATTATATGTTTTATATTTTGTTTTGTGACTTTTAGGAGCCATAGTTATTTTTAATCAACATCATATCATGATGTTTTTTTCCTTTGAAAAATTACATTTTAGCCATGCCATTTCAGCCAGAAAATGAAATACAAGGCATTCAGATTGGAAAGGAAGATGTCACACTGTCTGTATTCGCAGATGATATGCCCTTGTACGTAGAAAATTCTAAAGAATGTGAAGAACTATCAGATGCAATAAATGAGTTCCACATACACAGAAATCAATTTTATTCCTACACACTTAAACAATGAGCAGTTTAAAAATGAAATTGTCAACAATTGCATTTACAGTAGCATCAAAATAAAATTGTTCAGAATAAATTTACCAGAGCAATGCAAAAAATTATATTCTGAAAAATACAAAACATTCTTAAAAGAAAGTACAGAAGATCTAAATAAGTGGGAAAAAAAAATCTCATGCTCATGGATCAGGAGACTTAATATTGTTAAGATGGTAGTATGCCTCAAATTCATTTACAGATTCAGAGCAGTGATCTAGTAAATTCCCAGCTGGGTTCCCTGCAGAAACTGACTGTCATAAAATCCACATGGAAATTAAAGGAATCCAGGATAGCCAAAACAATCTTTAAAAAGAATGATAAAGTTAACACTATGTGGTCCTGGCATACAGGCAGGCATACGGATCTGGACTAGAATTGAGAGTCCAGAAATAAACCCTCATGTTTATGGTCAGTTACTTTTCAAAAAGGATGCCAAGACAATTCAGGGAAAGGATCTAGCCTTTACAACAAACGGTTCTGGGTCTTTCAGAGAAAATGAAATTGGATCCCTATTTCACACCATCTACAAAAATTAACTCAAAATGGGTTGGACCTAAATATAAGACCTAAAATTATAAAATTCTTAGAAATATACATTGGAGTAAATCTTAATAAGCTTGGATTAGGCAGTGTTTTCTTAGATATGATATAGAAAGCACAAGCAACAAAAGAAAAAAATAGATAAATTGGACTTCATCAAAATTTAAAACTTCTGTCCTTTCAGAGACCCAGTCAGGAAAGTGAAAAGATAATTCACAGAATGAGAGAGTGTATTTCCAAATAATGCATCCAATAAGGATCTAATAACCAGACTATGTAAGGAACTCTAACAACTCACTAAAAAGACAACCCAATTAAATATAGGCAAATGACTTAAATAGACATTTCTAAGAAGACATATGAATGGGGAATAAGCACATGAAAAGATGCTCAACATCATTAGCTATTGGGGAAATGCAAATCAAAATCACAAAAAGATACTGCTATGCACCCACTAAGAAGGCTGCAATCCAGAAAGCAGCTAGTGACGGTGCTAATGAGGATTTGGAGAAACAGGCACCTTTGTGTATTGCTGCTGGGAATCTTAAAATGATGTAGCCACTTTGGAAAACAGTCTGGCAGTTCTTCAGTATGTTGACTGCTAATAGATGTGATGGTTGCACAACTGCGAATAAACTAGAAATCCTTGGTTTGTATAATTTAAATGGGTGAATCACGTGGTATGTAAATTGAATCACAATAAAGCTGTTACTAAATGACATTTTTCAAGCTTAGAGATTTCTTAGTTTTCATTTTGACCAAAAATATTCTGAGTGAAATTACTAACAACAGTATTACTTTGTAGAATATGAAAATGCGTAATTCTTTGAGCTGGAGTCCCAAAGTAATTTCTGAGCCTCCACCAAATGGGCTTGAAGGATGAGCTAGGAGCCTCATTATTTCTATCACGACAGCTCTGCATTCCTTGGCTTACCCTTTTGCTGGCTTACACTGAAAAGCTTCCTTTCACCCTTTCTTCTCACCTTTCCTGTCACCTCCCTCATAAAGATTAGAACATTTGTCACTTTAAAATATTCTAAATCATATTTGACTTCGAACTTGAAGAGTTGCGTTTTTGTAGAGTATTTCTCCCTCTGTCATACACATTTGTTGAAAATTTTAAATTCTTTCATTAAATCAGTTTTGCTCAGCTGTCTTCAGCCATCTGCCACTTATATAAGTATCTTCCTTAGAGTATGTAACTTATTTATGTAATAATGCTGTAGCAGTAAATAATGAAGTTAAGAAAATAGACTTTGATTATCTTTTAGAAAGCCTAGAAGTTATAAAGTCTCTTTAAGAATAACAAATGAGTTCAGTCCTCATAAGGAGGAGAAGTAAAGCTTTGATCTCTAGCTTCTTGTCCTTTGAACGTACCTGTGAGGCGCAGTTCATCTCCCGGGAATAAAATGTTGGGAAAAAAAATCCAAGTAGTTGTTGCCCACGAGTTTTCCTGGAAGATTAGAATTTCATGGAGTTGACAGCATATTTGTATCACTAGTGATCAAATACTCATCTCAGAAGAGAGTTTGCAGGATTGCCTTTGGTTTTTATCTTATGAAATTAGATTGTGATACATCAGAGACAGGAAAAGTGGAAGAAGTTCTAGTTGAAACATATTTCTAAGACATCTCAGTAAGCTGGGAGTTTTTCTTAGACGAAATGGCACATGGTCTTTAATCTCCAAATGGCTTATTTTTCTATTATCTTCAAGGTCACCTAAGGAAAGGCCTGTTGTGCTGTGTGGGTTCAGCTGTAGAGATTTTTGTCTGCAAGCACTGATGACATTTATTAGGCAAGCAACAAAAGATTATTATAAAAGGGTTTGGTAAGGATTTGGGATACATTTTTTTCCTTTAGTATATAAATCATAATTTATTGTTAATGGCTGAAGTATCTGATAGGATGTTTTTGCTTAGGTTTTATTATTAATTATGTAGAATATGCTAAGAATTGGAATCTCCCTTTCTTAGGAACATAGCTAAATGATTATAAGACCACAGGATGTTAAGCCCAGAAGACAGAAGTATATGTTTTGTTTTTCTCAAGTTTCTCAAGTTAATATATTATACCCACTGAAGGGGTAATTTGATGATGTTTAACTTAAGGTATGGCTAGAATGTGGTCCAGAACTCTATATTTGAATATTTAAATGCACTTTATGAAATTGTTAAAATGCTGGTAACTCAGATGGAGGTGTGTTGAGGGGAAGAGGAACTGTAGAAACGAGGCTTCTACATGGGGGCGGACATCACTCTACTTTGTTTATTTCTGTGTTATTTGAATTTTACAACAGGGATTACTTTGATGACTAAAAATGATGTAAAATTAAAAATTAATGTCATTATTATTGAATAGTCATTAATTAATTGATAACTAATTCCAAGACAATTTTGAGTTCATTCAGTTTGGTAGATTGAGTTTTTAAAAATGTATAGTGTATCTTTCCTTTGTTTCTGTCACTGTGTGTCTTGTTGGTCTGTGTTCCCTGTTTCTAAGGCACTGCAGTTGTTGCTTGATTTCTTTGGGCAGGGAGAATTCTAAATTTGAGTTACAATTGAAAGTTTTCTTAGGTGCGAAAAGATAGGCTGTAGTATTAATTTTTAAAGAGAAACTAAATGTTTTTATTTGCTTATATATCTCAGTATACCTTCTGGATTGAATAAATTGCTTCTGACAGAATATACAAATTAAGTTTGAATTGATGTAACTACAGAATTAGATATAATCTTACCTGAGTACTGAGGAGTTTGTGAAATGTTAGAACCTGGTGTGTTGGGTATTATTAACATTAACCTAGGGAAGTAGTTAGGTTTGAAGGAATGTATGCGCAGGAGCTTGACAGATGCTGATAACACATATTATTAGATGTTTCTGTGGCATTTTTATAGTCAGAGTGTGTTGATGGGAAAACTACAGAATTTGGGGCAGTTGACAAAATTAAGTCTTTTTTTAGTAAATTAATTTAAAAGTTTCCATTACGTTTCAGCATAATCTGTGAGTTGGTGATAGAATTAGCACCACATTACTTGCAATATTAAACAACAATAACAGCAATTCTACCCGTTTCTGAAGGATTTGAACACTAAGACTAAATATATTTGGATTTCATTAACACTGAACTTGGATTCATTAACATCAAAGAGGATGAGAGGATTTTAGAATTCATTAGTATCACTCTTTTATAATTATGTATGACATTAAAAGGTGAATCTTGATACCTACTTTATAAGATACTTTATTTATTATGCATTTGACAACTTTGATCCAGAACAATTCTAGGCCTCAAAAGTGTTTGGAGTTAAAATATATGTATATTGAACTTGATTGATTTCTGTGTCATAGCTCTATGAGAATGCCGTAAATTAATTTAGAATGTAGGAGACTTAATTAGATACATTTGTTAACAGATAAACATAAGTGGTATCATTAAGCCAGTCTGGAATTCAGTGGTTGAAGCGTAGATATTGTAGTGTTTCCAAAAAATATGACAGTTGTAATTTGAGAGCTTTTTCATGTGATCTCAATAAATGGAATGGAAGTATATATTTTGGCAAATGAAACAAAATTTCTGCTCTCTACAAGGAATACACTTTAAAATAATTGATGTAAATTTTATATAATGGTAGGTTTTTTCATAAGCTCGTATTTTTATATGTCATACCAGAAAAGAGTAAAAATTAGAAGATGACATTTTATTTTAGATAAAATGACATATCAGATCTCACATTTTTATTTGCTAGGGTGTTTCATTGATTGGTATCTTAAAGTATGTCTGTCCCCAAATATTTTAGGATAAAGATTTAAACTGTTAAGCATCGTTCTAGATAGTTAAATATAAACATGCTTTAAAATTCCAATTTAAAAAATTCAAGGTTTTAGATTTAGAAAATTTTGTTTTGCCTCTGTTCTTGCCGTTTTTTTCACTTGCTGATCTCACCAACCTTCACTTTTTTATTTGTATTAGACTCTAAACATGCTCGAATCTGCCTTTTTCCTGCTAGAAGCATTTAGATGGTGGAGATTGTTCTTCATGTTGCAATATGTACACATTAAAATGTCCAAAATGGACAGCAGGAACCCAGGTGCTGCCTCTTCCTTTGTCATTTATCCTGGTAAGGGATGTCATAACCTGGTGCATGTTAAATATTTAATTGTTTCAAACTATGTGGACTTTCCCCTTTGGTTGGTTAGAGTAATTCATAAGAAACAACACATATTTTGAAATTCATATGTGTATCAGGATCTAACCAGGAACATGCAAACCACTTCAAGTATTTACAGCAGAGAAAAATTAATGCAGGGAGTTGGCGATAACAGGCAGTGGTGTTGCTGAGAGCCAAGTGAGGCACAGAAAGGTGACCCAGAGATTAGCAATAGCAGGAAGCTACTGCCACCCTGGGCTGAGGAGGAAATGGGGTTGAGGGGTCAGGGCTACCCAGAACTGACAACTTGAAGAGCAGCTAGACCACCTTCCAAAAAGCAGAGCCACAGAAGAGAGAGGAGAGGTTTGGGGTGAAAATGCCCTTGCTTCTCTCTCCCCCAGCTCCAGCCCCTTGCTACTGGCTGAACCCAGTCAGAGACCAGCTGAGCCTGCAGGAACCAGCCTCCTGCAATACAGAGCAGAACAGGTGGAGGGCGAGGAACATAGCTGAGGGCAAAGCAGGCACAGGATGAAACAGCGATATTGAGGAGGTTCCTTCTCTTGACAGTTTATGTCTAGCTTCATCTTGATCCCCTTTGAATATGTCCCTGGACAAATTGAAAATAGGAAACGACATTGGCATTCAGCTCTGTGGATGTGAAGGCCCTCTGGCTGGCATCCTGGGTGTTCCTTTCTCCTCACCCTTCTATGCCTTCCCAAGCGGGTTCTCAATGAAAGAGTGTGGTCTTCTCTGCCAGTGTAGAACTTCTTTTTGGCTAATAGCACGTGGTTAGCTTGCATCTCCTGATGCAAACCTCTCAACAGGTATAGAATGTAGTCATTTGGGGGATGCCACATTCTCTAAGATGATTGAGATCAGCTAGCCTCTGAAATAAATTCATATAGTGGAAACACTCAGTTAGATATCAGAAGAATAGTGTTATGCCTGCTCAATCTGAAATTGAGCTTGGATGATTTCTCCTCATTAATTAATTAATTGATATCTTTTTAGAGAAAGCAATGACTGTTGAGGAAGAATAAACTTTTAATATTGTTGCTACGATTACAAAATAATAAGGGATGTAATGTAACAAGTTTTCAAAGCATAGAGCCTTGTATGAAGTGGACATCCAGTAGAATGTTTGGTTAAATTTGTAGTGAATCTGCTGTAAAAAGTTGATCACTGGCTTTGAGAACTAGGTATAGGGGTTTATAGCTGGAAGACTAAGACATCTCCTAAAACAATCCTGTTGATTTATAGAAAAGGCAACTGGCATTTCTGTTTTCATTTTCAGGAGATTCAAACTTAGAAAAGAAATAAAATGCTTAAATCAACCTTTAAAAACAACTATTTTTTAGATTACGAAAGTCTTAGAGAATATAAAAAAATTGTGTGTGTGCGTGTGTGTGTGTGTGTTCCAGTGTAAAGTCTATAATAATTCTACTCCCAGAGATTGATTCAGCAAATATTTATGGAGCCTCTACTGTGTGCCAGGTAGTGTTCTAGGCACTGGGGAAATATTAGCAGGCAACACAGTTGAAATATTTCTTCTTATGTCATTTTATTCCTAATGGAAAGGGAAATAGGCA